AGCAAGATGACCAAGCTGACAAGATTACCAAGATTTGCTGCTCAAATACTTGTTCTAAATTCCCTGCACAATGTACTAGTACTACTAGTGCTACTTCTTCCTCTCTAAGAACTTACCATGAAACTTGGCAGCCTGTGACATATGCTCGAGCATTGTGGCATCGAGTCGGTCTCAAGAATCGGTTGTTGCAACTAGCCACCATCGACGGGATTTCGATCTGACGGATCTGTTTGGGACTCGTGCCGGTCCCAGTCATGCTGCAGCAGATTCCGGCATTCGCAGTTGTAGGTGGTTCCACAGGGCGTCTGCATCAGCACAACCGTGCACTGCTCTTCCCACATGCCAGGATGCTTGGCTGCGTGGTGCCTTCTGCAACCCTCGCAGGGTTACCAATGCGCCTGGCTCATAGATGTCATGACACATTGCTTGCGTGGCTAATTTCACCCTGCCATTCTGAATGGAGCATTCTGGCTTCAAGTGTGCCCCTCCCGGAGAGGCCCACCAAAAGACCATCACACATCCCTTCTTCAATGGACCGTTTCGCAGCACTCGGCCCTCGAATCGCATACAGAAGAGTTCAACGCCGGCCGCACCTAATGCACTGAAGTATCCGTCGATCTTAAGCATTCGAGGCTCTATCAAGTCATGATCCGCATCATGCTAAGCTTTTTCTCATTTTCTCCATTCTTAGCCACGATGTCTTTCGAAGCTCGCCTGAGGGTGCTCTGTCGAGCATGTGAGCCAGGCCACTCTGTTTCTGTGTTTCCGCCGTTCTCCGTGTCTTGATTACAGTCGATCGCGACAGCTCTTGCTGCGACCAGGGGGAATGCACATGTAAGTAGACAGTTTCGGTCGGTGTCAGGCACACCTCGAACATGGCAGCATGCGGCATTTAGTGAATGTGGACATGAGTTCGAACCGATCTCGTTCTGGGAAGTTCAGGCCCGACTATGCAACCTGGGGGTTCGACTTTCGGGCCTTGGTCCGATTCCAAATGTCGCGCGAAAGGCCCTCCTCCTCCTCCGTCCTCCGCCGCGCTTTCTCAAGGCAGATCTGAAAGTCTCTGCCTCGGCGCGGTGCAAGCAGCTCAAGCACCTGCTGAAGGCCAGGGCCTGGGCATGGGAGGGCATGGGCGTCTCGGCCTCTCCCTATCACCCTGAAACGTGGCCCCTAGGCTCACGGAGCTCATGCCTTTTCCTTGAGCGGGACAGACTGCTGAACGCATCTGATAGCTGTGTGCTGTCGACGCGTCGAAAATGGCTGCTTTTCATTGTCCCGGTGAATTTCTCATAACTTCTCTATGGCCTGACTAGGGCTCCGGATCGGGAAGCCCGACAGTCTCGCACAGAATGTCGAAGCTTTCTACTACTTTTCTACTGCATGTACGACGACCTGCCAGCCAACAATCCTTTACTGCGCAAGCACTCGACCACACTCCTAGTTGCAACAGGGAGTTGCAACAGGAAGTTTCAACACCTGCTGCCATGGGGCTCATGCGCTCAGTTTGACTTGAACATCTTGAGAAGTATTCAGACATCTTCACTGTCATTGTCGTCTTCATTGGCTTGGCGTATGTGTCCGTAGTTGCAGTTTCCAAAGCAGCCTCGGGGTCGGAAGGAGCTAAAGCTTTCTCGATGTAGCTTTCTGCTTTGGCCATGGCGGCTGCACTTTGCCAGTGGCAAATGATTAGCGGCAAGGCGTGGTGACATGTCATATCATGAGGTGGGCGAGTCGTGAGATTTCAGCTTGCGTTTCCGTGTACCGATTCCGAGCAGCGAATTCTCCCGAACCTGGCGTGCCATGCCTCATTTTCTTAACGCAAAGCAGCACGGGCCAAACTCCTGAAAGCAGATGATGGATGATGAATCCAAAAGGAAATCATGGGGTTGGCAACAGGGGACCCAAACCTCCAAATGGGGATGATGCATTGATTGGCACAGCCTGAAAACAAGATGAGACCGGGGCGAGGCCCAAACCCCAACGCCCCGAAAGGAGATGATGGAGTGGTGGGTCCAAACCCTGGACGGCGAGCTAGACAGCCTTGAAGAAATGTGACAGGATGGCAAGCCCAAGATCCGAAAAGAAGATGAAAGAGTGTCGTGCAATGCTCTAACAGGAAATGATGGGTCTGCGGGTGACCTTGGAGATGACAGGGTGACGAAAGAAGAAAGTATGACGGGCCCGAATCTGCGAAAGCAGACCATGGTCGCGCATGGCGAGACCAAAAAAGAGCCAAAGGAGACGATGGAATGGCTCCCATATGAGACGCTGATGTGGTGGAGAGCCCATGACGCTAGAAGAAGATGTCACGGCATGTCGGTGCGAGCCCACCCTTAATGGCAAATGCTGGTGCGCAAGCGTATTTGCTCGCCCTTTCGAGCTGGAGGCATGCAGACACAGTTACAGGTGATGGGTGTTTTGCTAGGCGCAGTGCAGCACTGTAGTCACAAGAGATGTATTTAGGTGGGTGTAAATGTAAGTGGTTGATTGGTCCATGAAAATGCCTGCATTTTTCAGGTACCATTCTCGGACTCGGTCTACTACACCGGCCAGCTTGATTGACTTTGATTGCATGGCTTCTGCAACGAAGGCCAGCCGGGGAGTATGCCAGGTCGTCCGAAGGTGTGCGTGTTCAGTCAAGATGCCGAGATGTGTTGAATTACACTTGTGTCCCTGACGCTGAAAGTGCTTCTCCGCCAGCTTGTCGAGGCTCCCTGGCACTGGGTTTTGGAAAGTGGAATGGACCCTGCAGGACCTTACCATTTGTCAGGGTCAGAAATGACAGAACCGCAGAGCCCAGCATCGGCAGGCTTTGATGATTCGATAAACCACACGTTTAGGCAACATGCACCTGCTGTCATGTTTCTGTTCACAAACGGATTAAAGCCCGATCTAGCTATGTTGACGAGGCGTTCGTTAGAACAGTTAACTTGTGAAGACGTGTTTTCACATCCTTCACGATGTAATGCAATACAGCACCAATCAACCTAGTTGTTTAGTTGACCATTTCACTAATCGGGTGCAAGTTAACTAGCATGCGTAGGAAAACTGAGCAAGTGCGGTGTTTACTATGGCCACGAATCAATCGATTTCCCAACATCGGATCGAAGCCGGGTGGAAGGCAAGGAATTCTCAGTGCATGGCTAGCCGTACCAGCCTCGCAGGAGCTGTCAATCGCCTCCATGGATCTGGCCGGGTTTAGGGAAGTTTGGCATTGCCTCCAGAGTCAGCCGCGCCGTATGGCCGGAACTGCTTCTGGGTAGCTCAATACGCTCCTGCACAGCATGCTTAGTGCGCACAGCCATGCAAAGGCCTTCCGGAGCTTGTCGGTCACCGCAGTGTCAACTCACTTTGGACCTGGAGGGCGTCATCTCGTGCAAGATCAGGGAGCGAGGTCAGCTTCTGCCTGTGGTTGCAGTTTTCATCGTCCCACTACCGAAAAACTGAAAAGACTCTCTTATTTTGCAGCTTTAGGCGAAGGCCATCGGCAAGCATGTCTGTGGAGTTGCTGAGCAAAGTGCCACGCGCAAGAATTCCGGCCTAAGGTTGGGTGAGTAGGGGCTGACGCTGCAATGTTTTGGATGTTCTCCTCCAGATCTTTGCGGATTTGACCCACGACATCATTGCAAGTTTGATCCGTGCCGAGCATATCACATCACACGCTGAGAGTCGGGTTCTGTCTTGCATAGCAAGCGGCAGCCAAGTCTCGGCTCTGTGCACAGCCTCAAGATGAAGCCTTACAAAAGGTCTGGCGACCCAGGCCGCCTGCTTCGACGTAGGTGCACAAAGTCCAAGCTGAGCCAAAAGTTTAAAAGATGCTCCTGCATCGTTTGGATCCGATAAGAGTGTGCAACGGCTCGGCCTAGCTCATTAAGTCGATTTGTTGAGAGCCACAAGGCCTCCAACAGTATCTCTTTGTCGTTCAGCCGAGGGGATCCATGGGCCGCCCATGTTTCGCTGAAGCCATTTCTGCATCCAGCATGTCTTGAACGTCGAGCAGGCCTTGTACGGCGACAGAGCCCTTTTTGATCCCCTCGTTATCGCTTGAACCGGCCTACCACGATGAAGGCCGTTCCTTCCCCCCTTTTAAATTCCGCATGTTCTAAGACTTCGGAGATGTGCAGACTCTCGGGGCCGGGATTTTCACGGCCGAGGGCTCAACATGGCTCAACGACACTGATCCATGCAGGGGCCTTTGAGCAAGTGCGCAATGTGGCTCTTCTTGGCGAGGATGAGTTGCTAGACGATTTCAGGCTCTCTGGATTTAGTGTAGTTGCACCTGCGCTGCAATCCACAGGCTTCAAAACCAACTTCGTGCATATAGCCTGACCTCACCCATGTCAGCACCACCTACGACCTTCGGGAGGTTTGTTGGGAGGCGTGTTGCCCTCCAAGTTGCCTCGAGTCCTCTGCGCACTCCTGAACTTGAGCAGTGCTCGCATTCCAGTGGCTAAGCCTAAGGGTTCCTAGTGCTTTTGAGAGCCTGTGGTTGACAGACCGTGGCTGACTTCAAGATGGCTTGCCCATCCAAAATGCTTGATTTAATCAAACGCCTTTGCCCCGGGTTTGCAAGAATCCGCACGTGGATCAGCAAACAGAGTACAGGCTTTGGGTGTTTTTCGCAGTCTTGCCACACTGTAAGCACCCCAGAGTGGACGAAGTGTGAGGTCTGAATTCGTGTTGAATTTTGCGAGCTCGGCCCCCAACTGAGTCAGTGCAAGCGATGTACCTGGTGTCTTGGGAACGTGCAAGACGATGAGCTCGCATGTGCCCCGTGAACGGTCGAGTCGAATCTTTTGTAGCACCCGCTGGGAGGGCAACGTGGTCGGGTAAGGCCGACATGTTCGAAGCTGTTTCTAGGAAGCGCCCGGCCCCGAGCCGGCTTCGTGTGCACATACGCCTCAAGCCTAAATGTTCCAAAGATGGCCAACACAAGACGTCGGAGCTTCCTTTGCTTGCTGGAGCCCCCGCCGATCCGTTTGGGCCTTGCGACCTTGGCCTTGCCAAAGCCTTTCTGCGGGATAAACCCCTTTCTCGGAGTCTTTGCCGTTTTCGCATTGTGCCCGTGCCTTTGCTCTTTGACGGGACGTGATGGCACGAGGCCGGACTCCGCTTCCGCTTGATTGACTCGTGACGTCCACCTCACATTGCGGCCACCGTGGCCGTGGCCCCTGCCTGGCAAAGAGCCTGGCCTTGCAGCACTTGCCAGCGTGCTGCTTTCCGTGACGATGGTCTTTCTTGTGCCCGCGGCTTCGAGAAGGTGCTGGCCCTTGACGGCTGTGCTGCCTGCTCTGGCTGGGCCTTAGCCTGTTATCTATCTAGCTCAATTTCGCTTTGCACTAGCAGCTTACCAGGGACCTTTAGGAACCTTCAAACCATCGAGCATACCGGAATTTTGGTGAAGTCCCAGGTGCCCACAAGATGCGGATTCCGATCCTAGGGACCAGCCATCGTCCTTTCCTTGATGCTTCGTGACTCAAGCCTGGCCGAGGTTTCATGCTCTGCCGGCTCGGTTGCCGCAGCTACCACGCCCCTGCCATGTCCGCGGCCGGGCGATGTGCCAGAAGTGGCCAATGCTTCGAGTTAAGTTGGAATTGAAGGGCTGCTGCTGTCGCTTATGCCCTTCTGTTTTTAGGGCGTTTCGGCTGTGACATGTCGTATCTATTTTGAGTAGGCGATCCCTCCCACTGAGGCCCAGCTCTGTGCTCTACCATTAATCCCACTTCGTGTACAAAGTGCTTACGGTGAAGCGTTCCACCGGCGCAGGTCTGCGCTGGCATCGCCGGGTACACGGTAGCATCAGATTGCTACACCTCGGACTGGATCTCCGCTTGCTTGGCCTTAGTTGCACTATCTGCCTTGTAGAGCGGCCTAGCTAGTGAGGTCAGGTCCATCAGATGTTTGGGTAAGAGCCTGCTTTCCCAGCGTTTGTCTAGCTGGCTATGCAGGCTTGTTCGCTCCATGCTGCTGCCGGCATTCAAAGCATGCTCAGCCGTCCTGCAGCCAGTGAATGCCGCACCGGAAGGACTGGACCAAAGACGCGGTCTTGCACGCAGTCACGTTGCCGGTGCAACAGATGCCAGGCTACTGTAGACTCCAATTGGCGTGCCTTGACGGCGTGGTGTACGCCAGTCGTAGTGCTTGGTGTCTCGCCCAAGTTGCCTTCGTGCCCTGCCTCACGCCGGTGGCATGCACGGCCACGGTGCAATGAGGTCAAAG